AATCAGAGAAATGGAAACACCCCCACTCACAATTGCCTCAAAAAAATTAGGAATAAACCTAACTAAATGCATTAAAGATCTCTTCAATGGAAACTTTAAATCTTTGAAGAGACTGAGGAAGACACTAGTAGATAGAAAGACCTTCCCTGTTCATAGATTGGTAGATTTAGTATTATGAAAATGACCATCCTATCAAAAGCAATTTATAGATTCAATGCAATCCCAATCAAAATCTCCATGACATTCTTCAAAGAAATAGAAAAAAACCCTAAAATTCATATGGAATTACAAAAGACAGCCAAAGCAATCCTTAGCACAAAGAACAATGCTGGGGAGATTACCATATCAGATTTCAAACTTTCAAACTATATTACAGATGTATAGTAATAAAAACAGCAGGATATCAGCACAAAAACAGACATGTAGCTCAGTGGAAGGAAACTGAAAACCCAAACTTGAGTGCATGCAATTGTAGCCACCTGATATTTGACAAAATGCCAAGAACACACACTGAAGGAAAGATGTCATCTTCAACAAATGGTGCTGGGAAAACTGGATCTCTAAATGTAGAAGAGTGAAATTAGACCCATATCTATCACCCTACAAAAATCTACTTGAAATGGACCAGACCTCAATGTGAAACCTAACTTTGGTTAGAAGAATACATGGGTCATACCCTACAAAATGTAGGTGTAGGAAAGGAACTTCTAAATCCCTCAGGAATTATGGTCAGCATTTGACAAATTGGACCACATTAAACTATAAAGCTTTCACGCATATTTCCACAGCCCTGATTGCCTCTTAGAAATGGAACACAGGACTCAATTGGGGACTGTCATACTATGTAAACTAGCATCTTTTGCTTTAAATCATTAATTAAAGTTCCCCTCAAGAAATCTTTTTGGATAAGGCCCTGGTCTCAAAAAAGCAGTTGGCCCACACGTTTGTGTCTCAACCTGTCTGTTGCTGGCTGAACTGTCTGTCTGTGGCCTTCAAACATGTCATACCACCCAAGATCTGTAAGTCTGAGTATGTCTTCAAAGTTCACATTGTTGTTGTGTCCTTGTAGCTATGCCTGCATTCTGACCTCTGATGGAGAGGTAGTGCAGGGGAACTCATGCAAGTTGATCTCTTGCTTTTACCTCTGGTGGCTACTAGAAAAGTAGCAGCAAGTCTCATTCCCATTACATCCAGGATCCTTTCCTGTGCCTCACTCACTTCAAGCAGTTGCTTGAGGAGTGTAGGAAAGAACCGGGACAGAGGAGTTTGTAGCAGTGTCAGTCTAAAGATAACAAAAGAACAGAAAAATAAGACCATATTCAGACCAGTGGCTTGAGGAGGAAAGAGGTGACTACAAAATGTCAGGAAATTTCATCCCATGATGGAGGATATGGAACTTGGACTGTGTGATCTCAGAGAACAGGTCATACTACTATTGGCAAACCCTGAGATACAGCTTTTAGCAGTATGTAAGAGCTCCACAACTATTACCAGTGTTTTTGGATGGCACAGACTGGAAATGCCACGGCTGGGTGGTGGAGTCTTACAAAAATAATTTGAGCCTGAGGTGGGGGTCAGCTCTGGTGAGCATTCAGTTCAATTTAACTCTCACCGCTAGTGAGTGTATGGCTTAGGCTCCTATTCATGGCCTTTTAATGCCTCCAGTTCCGTGAATGAACCATCCAGGACCATTCAAGACTTGTTGAAGATTTTTTACCCTCAACAATTCACCATCAGAATTTATCCCATGCCAAAGAACAGAGGAGGTGAAGGAAGTGGGCTGAATTCAGATGCCTCCTTGGGGGATTAAGAAGACCATATTCTTGTAGAGAAACAATAAGACAACAGCCAAATGAAGAGCCCAAGTTATAAATAACACATGAATATTCTAAAAAACACACTGGCATATTGACATTTAAAAGGGTTTATACTGAGTTCAGTATTGTGTAACTGTATTAATTCAACTGTGAGCCTAAAAATTTTATAGCCATTTTTGAAAGAGATGTATCTTTGTTCTGGAAATTGTTATTGAGTATGTTAAAGCTGTAATGAAATGCTTCTTCTAAAAAATAAAAAATAACAAAAACAAAGAACAAATGAACTGTAAAGAGACAAAGGATTGAAAGAATGGTGGAATGATTTCTGTGGGGTGTTGAGCAAGTATGACTTACATCTTAATAGTTAGACATTTAAGATGAAGAAAAGAAGAAAACATAGACCAAGCCCTTCATCCAGGAAATGATGTGATTTAAGACTTTTCCATCACTTCAATCTTTGGGTAATTATGATAAGTGGGCCTGTGAGCCACTAAATGGCACATGGTGCTCTTGTATTCCTAGTGAATACCTAACAAAAATTTGTTCTTTCAAGAATTCTATTATCCCAGCTCTAAATAATCTATTAAATGAACATTTAAATGTGTAAGTTATAAACCTGAACCTAAATCAGGTTGTCTGTGCCCAAACATGTCCACAGGTAATTAAGAAGTTAATTACAACTTAGTTGTTTTGGAGAAATCTTCATGTCTCTACAGCTGTGACTTGTACTTCAAAGAGTGTCTCGAGTTTCTTTGAGGCTGTCATGCCCATTCTGTACTAAGAGGAGCTTCTTCAGACACTTAGGATGTGAGGCTAATATCGCCAATGACTTCATGCTTGTTCCCGCTCCTTCCACTTGTATGGTTTACCCAACAGCAGTAATGACAATCTGAGCCAGCTCCTGATTCGCCTCTTTATAGTCAGGGGAAGGTCAGCTATTTTTTGATCCTCATGGGAGAAAGAGAGCACCTCAATCAGTATCTTAAAATAGCAGACCATTCTCAGCTGCTGGGCTGGAGTCCCTCCAGGGAAAGCAAAGGGATGGGGTGGAAATGAGCAGTCACCACAACTCTAGCTAAGACGGGCTTCTGAGAAGATCTTGCCTACCCCAAACTGCCATTCTTTTTGGCTGTTATTGAGAAGTTGACTGCTTACAATTTGTTATTTTATTCGGAAGAAAACCAGTCACTTGAAAAATGAGACTAAATGTCGCCATCTTCTTTGGAGCTCTTTTCGGAGCTTTGGGAGTTTTACTCTTTCTGGTTGCTTTTGGATCAGATTATTGGCTTCTTGTGACTGAAGTGGGCAGGTGTTCAGGTGAACAGAATGTGCGTTTCTTCTTCAAAATATCAAAGTGCTTGGTAGAGATAAGGATAACTTTATGTAACCTCTTGAGAATCGCAGGGGGCTGTCTGTCTTCACAGAAGTCTGTAGAGAACTAATCGTTATCATTATTGGGATCACAGGCATTAAAATGTAGTGAAATTAATTACATTCCCTGGGTTGACAGCAGGTCACTTCGTTTGTGTTCTGTGCAGATAGAGAACGTCACTTTCCACCACGAAGGATTCTTCTGGAGATGCTGGTTTAATGGAATCGTGGAGGAGAATGATTCCAACATCTGGAAGTTCTGGTACAGTAAGTACAACTCATCTTGTTTTGTTCTTCTCTGAAACAAAACAAAACAAAACAAAACAAAATAAAAAACAAACAGGTTCTTGTTTAGTGCTTATCACTTGCAAGAGGATTGGATTCCTAACTGTAAAGTCTCAGGATGATGTCCTCTCATGAAGAGGTTCCTTTTCAGTAATTTCTTTTCTAACATAAAAAAGAAGTCTGAATAATTATGGCAAAACCAGAAGTACCTGTTGTTTCTCTGCCCACATTTAAAATATGCTGTCTCTAAGACACAAAGCAGATATCGTCTGTGGTAGTTTCTTTTCAAGTGTGTATATTGCTATGTGGCAAGTAAGTGTTTCGGAAACTTGTTTGGCTATAAGCTCCTGAAATTTCAAGTACAAAATTCCAAAAATAGAGGTATTATTTTATATCCATAGCTTCAATGTTTTTTAATCCACTTTTGTAATGAACTTAATTATGAAGTGGTAGAAGATGAAAGATTTTATAGTTGGGCTTTGCCCATTTGTAGGCCATATCAAAAAAATCCTTTCCTTTTGATGTTTGAATTCTTACAGAGAAACTTTAAAGTTCCCTTTTGAAGCTGAGTAACTTTTAAGACTGTGACATATTCAAGTGTTTCTATGTTGTATTGATCTTTGAAAAACAAATCAGTGAGAATAGCTAGCATTCATTTTATTGTCTTAAAAAATAAAAGAACCATTTATTAGCTGAAAGCATACTGAGAGCTGAGATTATTAGTCTTATTTTCAAACATTCCTGTGAAAAGTCAAACATGTACTTACACAGTAGTCAAGACTATGGAATATATAATAAGGACATAATACCACTGAAGATAAGCAATCTGGTGGCAAATTGGTGTCTACTAAAGGAACTAGGGAGTGTTGAAGTGGCTCTGAGAGAGGAATACTAGTGAGACCACCTTACCGTGGACCGGGGGCTGGGAGTAAACATGCAAGTTGCCAGAGGAAATTATTTACATGAGTGAAACAGAGAAAGTCGGGCTGCACAAGAGGATGTCGCCAAAGACTTAAGGAAAGTTTCCTTCACCTTGCTCTGCCTTAAAGCGCATACTATGAATTTAAGTTTTCATATAATGTAAAAGTTATTATTGCAGTTTCCTCAAATGTTGAAATTTTATTTGAATTCTTAATTGTAATGTTCTATCATTTGTATCTTTTCCCTAAAAATAAGATGTATGTAGAAGAAAAATTCTGTGAGTTACAACTAGACAAAGTAAAATCTAACTTTATTGGATCTCTAAGTCAATTCCTTTTGAATATCTACTATATGCTAGACCTTCTGTTCGGAATAAGACTATATGAAAATGTATGAAATGTTATGTGTTTAATTTTAGGGCCATGCAGGAATTTGTGTTTATTCTATTGAATTCTATTGTGTAGTTAGATGTTTTAGACAACTCCTCCTCTTCAAAGTTCCCTGTGCTTTTCAATAGTTTTTATTTCTCATTCTGTAGGTCTCTTGAGTTTGTTGGTAGACAGTAGTTTTGTTTTGCTCCTGTGCTCCTGGCTCCAAGGTTTCTGTTCCATGAGTCATCCCTGGGCCCCTGAATAATGGACATCATCCCTGTGTTCTTTTTCCTAGCCAATCAGCCACCATCTAAGAACTGCACACATGCTTACCTGTCACCCTATCCCTTCATGAGGGACGAGCAGAACTCTACCTCCTACGACTCTGCAGTTAGTAAGTACCTCATCACCCAGGTGCCTCTGATGGGGACTGGCCTTGTTGCAAGATATGTATGAGCAATTAAAAGTAATTTAACATCTGTATCTAATGCTCTGATATTAACCTGTTAATATAAAATGTAATTATTTTTAACACACCATTTATAAGTTTAATTAGAATTCAGCTTTGATCTAAAATTAGAGCTATTGTGATTACTTGTTAATTATGCAAATAATTCAAAATGTATTTTTAATATGAAGACAGTGATACATATTCAGAACTGCTTCTTAAGAGTATAAATGACTTAAAACTAATTAAAAACTGAAAATACTGTAAGATATCCCCTATTTTAAAAGCAGTTTTTAGGGGCCGGAGAGATGGTTCAATGGTTAAGAGCACTGGCTGCTCTTACAGAAGACCCAGGTTTAAATTCTAGCACTCACATGGTGGCTAACAACCATCAATAACTCCATATCCAGGGAATCTGGCATCTCTTCAGTCTTCCCTGGGCATCGCACGACATGTGTGTACTTACATACATGCAGGCATAATATTTATATACATAAAATAAAAATAAAATAAACTTAATAAATAAGAAAATAAAGACAATTTTTATAATTGTTACACAAGAATGTGATTATGCCAGTCTATTCATAAAAATGACTTAGCTCTGTTGGGTGTGATATTGCACAGATAAAATTAACTGGAAGTCATATTAAAAACAATGTTTTAAATAACTAAACCAAGCATTGGTATAAACTAGCAATGCCTTACAAAAAAAACCAACATGATTATTTTTAACAAGGTTCCTAATATATCTAATACCTTGAATAAAATGATATTAAGCAGAGATCTGCAAAGAAGGATAACCAATAGAATTTACACACAACTGTTTTTTCCTATATGCTTGGTGCACTGGTTCTAGGAATCCCCTTAGATGCCAAAATCCTCAGACACTGAAGTGTTTTATATAAAATGGTATAGCATATCCACCTATGTAGTTTAGGTCCTATCTAGACTTCTTATAATACCTAATACAATGCAAATGCTATGCCCACAGTTGCTGTGTTGTACTGCTAAAGAATATCAAGAATAAGAAGCGCAGTGCAGGCACATTGCTTTTCTGAATATTTTCAACCTATGACTGATTGAAACCAAGGATGTGGCACCTGGGATGGAAGAGGAGTATAGGGGAGAGATATAATGAAAATACCTGTCATCTACTTATCTATTATGTATCAAATATTTATCTCTCAGTCTATCTGTCTATCAATCAATAAATCGGTTATAAGAATTTCTCTCAGGTGATTGTCTGAAATATGTTAAGGAAGTTGGTAAACTGAAGATTCAAATAAGCATTAATGTTTTGATTTTGAGTCTGAAGGCTGGAAACTCCAGTCACATTTTTATATTGTGATTGGGAAGCCTGTCTTTGCTCTTAAGCTTTCAAGCTATTGAATGAAGCCCATTTATGGGCTTTGCTCAAAATCAATTGATTATATATACCAATCAAACCTTACAAACCCTTCACAGGAATGCCTAACCTTGTGTTTGGCCCAGTGACTAGCATCATAGTCTGACACATAGCGTTAGCCATTACAGAGCATAAGAAACCTTCATGTGATTCACCAACTTTTCATCTTTCTGTCAGATGTGGATCTCCATACATTTATAATTTTTAGACTTATGAAAGATAGTAGCATTTGCCTTTGTCACATTCCAATGGCATTTTATGGAATAATTATCTAGTCTTGATGGGAAAATTGGTAAGGATAAGATGACCTGCAACTATGCTTGACCACACAGAATCCTTGGGTCCAAAGGATTGTGGCCTTGAAAAATGTATGTGAACCTTTCCATTGAAAACCCTAGGAGGCATCTCCTTCATATTTTCCAGAAGCTCCTGTGTCCCACAGGAAGCAGACACTCTCATTGCTAACAGGAGAGGTGGGTGGGACAAGCAAGACTATGGCAAGTTTTATTTTTGCTGTACAGGAAAGTCATAGAGGTTTCACTTGACCAACATTCTTAGTGTTACAAGTGAACTAGGAAGTAATGTGGGGTTTTATTTCTAGAACATTCGGTACCAGCGTTAATATTTATATTGTTATTATTCATATTTTGAGGTCCTTCCATGTGAGAATTTATATTATAGACGCATATATTTGAAAGTTCTGCACCTTAAGGAGATACCGGAGAACTGGAAAAACATGGTAGCATCATCTGTGCATAACAATGAGGTTGGAGATGAAGAGTAAATGCATGTCAGGGAAATTACACTGCAATTATTATGCAATTATTCTGCCAGCTTTTGGATCTAGTGACAGAACCATATCCAATTTTTTTGAATTATCGAACTCTTGCTTGGCATTCCTTGTTTGGCACTTCTTATTCACTTTGAGCAACTTTATTGAACACTGAGTAAAAATGACTAAAATGAGCGAAAATATGGAGTGAAGTAAAACATGAGCCTTATTACCCTCATGATCATGTACAAGAGTACCTGACGTTTTGTACATAAGAGAAGAGAATGTCTTAGATTTCATTTTGTGTTTGTGCTTCCTAATTCATAAGTCTAGCCTCCACCAGATCCTTGATCAGGTAGCTCTATGTAGCTTCATGATTAGTGGACATTATATAATCACCAAATTATTTTCAGTAGATTGAAACTATTGTTTATAAACTCTGAAATACTATGAACTGGAAAATTGTTTAAATGAGTTTACACTGACCTGAGGGTTTTTTTAAAAATGTTTTTGTTATTTTTATTTTATGTGTATGCGTGTATTGCCTGCATGTATGGAAATGCACCCATGTTGTGCAATGCCCGCGGAGGTCAGAAGAGGGCATCAGATCCCCTGGAACTGGAGTTATGGACAGTTGTTAGCTGCCATGTGGGTGTTGGAACCTGAACCCAGGTCTTCTGCAAGAACATTCAGTCTTCTTAGAACCATCTCTCCAGCCCTGACCTGAGTTTTTAGAATGACTGCTGGTCAATATTGAATCGTGTGTGAAGATAGTACAGTGGTGTGTGATTTCTTTGGGACTTCTTCTTTCAGAAGCCTAAAGCATGACTAATGATTCTAGAAACTGAGAACTGTGAAATCAAGGGGCTCTGCATTCAAGCAGTTGATCGTTGCCAAAACTAACACAGAGATCCAAGTCTCTGGTTTCTGTTTCACTGACAATTTTATAAACTACAGCAAAAATAAAGGCAGGGGATAATCGCTGACCTTGAAGGATCATGAGGCTGAGCATCGTGGCACATGCCTGAATCCAGTACTGGGGAGGCAGAAGCAGAATTCAAGGCCAGCCTGGACTACATTGCTAGACCCATCTCAAAGAAACAAAAAAGAAAAACAAATAAGCAACATCAAAAAATTCTAAGTCTTCTGTTTGTGTCTTGACAAAAGAACAAATTAAATCTACAGTTGACTTTTTCTACATTTTTGTCTGAACCCAACCTGTGTGTACAGTTTTAATTCAAGTTTTCCTTTAAAATTTTTGCACTCTCAAAGGTATAGTCTGAAAATCATTTATTCTCAAATTTTCTTATTGGAATGATTGCCCAAGCCTAGAGAGGGTAGTCTAACGAGAGCTGTTGTTGAGACCGGCTTGTGAATTTTGAAGTCTGTTAAACAATTCCATTACCTTTTGAGATTTGTAGGGGCTTAGATTTTCTGGTTTGTTTCCTTACATTCATCACAGCCCACTTGCTTGGTACCATTCTATAATGACAGACAGGACATAAATTAATTTTCAAGATGATTCAACTCTAATTGAATTAATATTTCCCTTTCTTGGTGTCCCCATAGTCTCTGGCACACCATCCCCCACAGCTAGGTGCATTATGCTTAACTCACTGTTTACTTCAGGTGCTTCCTGCTCCCCAGTATGGCAGATAACCTATTCGCATTTATTCTTTAGAACTTAGTGCAGTGCCTGGTAACTGGGAGGAGTTTAAACTTTGGTAGATAATGGCTTTTGCATGAATTATATTTAGACACTGGAAACATAGCTCAGTGATAAAGCATTTGCCCAGCATGCACAAGGACCTGGGTCTAATCCCTGGCATGATCAATCAGTCAATCACCCAGTCAAATCTTTTCAGCAGTAAAATATGTTAATTATTTTTAGGTGGAAAAAAAACCCCTGAATTACATATCTGATTTTTTTTTCTTTCTCGGCTGTGTTGGAGATGGAGCCCAAGATCCTCCACATACTAAGTCATTCTAAGTACACATATACTACCACTGGACTACACATCTTCCCTCCTTCCCTCCCTCCCCTCCTTCCTGTCATTTTTTTTTGTTTCTTTGTGTGTGTGTGTGTGTGTGAGAGAGAGAGAGAGACACACACACACACACACAGAGAGAGAGAGAGAGAGAGAGAGAGAGAGAGAGAGAGAGACTTGTTATGTAGAGCATGCTGGCCTGGAACTCATGATCTCTTGCCTCAGTCTCATGAATGCTGAGATTACAGATATATACCACCAGTTCTGCCTCCCATTTTCTAATTAAGCAGCATATATTGAACATAATTCTACCTTTTCTTGGTAGGTTGCACCTATGACAAGGGCTCTTCACTGGACTTTGAGTTCCGCAGATTCAGTGGTTCTTTCTGGTCTCAAAGTAGTTTTTTCAATGTATATTTTTTATTGAATTTTTATGGATATCATACAATACATCCTGATCATATTTAGAAATCCTCCCCTATCCATACCTCCCCGTAGCTTACCCATAAGACTATGTGCATTCTGTTATATATGTTAAGGCCTATAGCGTCAAGTTTGTATATCCAGATGTCTTTTGAGCCACTGGAGCCTTGTTCATCTTGTCTAGCACCACTCCCTTAGAGAAGACCAACTCTCCCTCACCCATCAGTAATTAGCTGCCAGTGTTCCTTGGCTAAGGAACATAATGTTCCTGTTGCCCATTTCCCCAGTTCAATGCTGATTTTTATCTGATTGAGTTTGCATGGGTCTTGTACATGCTGACACCATTGCTGTAAGTTCG